CTGCTGCCCTATCCAGTTATTCTGAGAAAAAGGCTACAGGCTGGGATTCATTGCCTTGATTTTTTAAAAAAAAATAATTAATTAATTTGAAAATCAGAGCCACAGAGGGAGATGGAGATCTTCCATCAGCTAGCTCACTCCTCAGATGGCTGCAATGGCAGGGATGGGTCAGACCAAAGCCAGGAGCCAGGAGCTTCTTCCAGGGGCCCAAGCACCTGGGCTGTCTTCCCCTGTTTTTTTCCAGGCCATTAGCAGGGAACAGGATTAGAAGTGGAGCAGCTGGGACAGGAACTGGCATCCGTATGGGATGCTGGCATCACAGGCAGCAGCTCTGCCCACTAATGCTACAGTGCCAGCCCCTCATCACCTGGCTTTGGAATTAGAACTCACAGAGCTGTTCCCCTTTTTCTCTGGTATAGAAAGAAAGAAGAGTTAAATACTTAAGCTTTTGCATGGTTAGGAGAGGATTTCTTTTAACCTTGCATGAATTATATATAATTTAAAATTTATTTTTTTAGATTTATTTATTTATTTGAAAGAGAGTGAGAGGGAGGTCTCTTCCCTTTGCTGGTTCACTCTCTGAATGGTCACAATGATTGGGGCTGGGCCAGTCCACAGCCAGGAGCCAGGAACTCCATCGTGGGTCTCCCATGTGGATGGCAGGGACTCAGGCATTTGGGCCATCTTCTACTTCTTCCCAGGCATATGAACAGGAAGCAGCCAGGACACTAACAGGCACTCATGTTGGATATTAGCATTGCACACGGGGGCTTAACTCACTGTGCTACCCTACCAGTCCCCAAATGTATTTTTTTTTTTTTTTTTTTTTTTTTTTTTTTTTTTTTTGACAGGCAGAGTGGACAGTGAGAGAGAGAGACAGAGAGAGAAAGGTCTTCCTTTGCCGCTGGTTCACCCTCCAATGGCCGCCGCTGCAGCCGGCGCACCGCGCTGATCCTGGCAGGAGCCAGGAGCCAGGTGCTTTTCCTGGTCTCCCATGGGGTGCAGGGCCCAAGCACCTGGGCCATCCTCCACTGCACTCCCTGGCCATAGCAGAGAGCTGGCCTGGAAGAGGGGCAACCGGGACAGAATCCGGCGCCCCAACCGGGACTAGAACCCGGTGTGCCGGCGCCGCAAGGTGGAGGATTAGCCTATTGAGCCACGGCGCCGGCTTCCCAAATGTATTTTTTAAATATTTACTTGTTTTTATTTTATTTGAAAGGCAAGGAGACAGAGATAGACAGATCTTCCATTCACTAGTTCACTCCCCAAATGCTGGGGACATCTGGAGCTGGCCCAGGCTGAAGCCAGAAGCCTGGAAATTAGTCCAGGTCTCCCTCACTCTTACACTTGGATGGCAGGGACCCAAGTACGTGAGCCATCACCAGCTGCTTCCCAGGGTGCGTGTTAGTAGGAAGCTGGATTTGCAGGAAGAGCTTGGGACTGAGACCCATACTCCATTACGGACCGTGTGTGTCCTAAGCAACAGCTTCACTGATGAGCCACGCGCCTGTTCCCAATTTAAAAACACAGTGGCTTGGGGCTGGCGCTGTGGCACAGCGGGCTAAAGCCCTGGCCTGAAACGCTGGCATCCCATATGGGCGCCAATTCTAGTCCCAGCTGCCTCACTTCTGATCCAGCTCTCTGCTATGGCCCAGGATAGCAGTGGAAGATGGCCCAAGGACTTGGGCCCCTATACCCACATGGGAGACCTGGAAAAAACTCTTGGCTCCTGGCTTTGGATGGGCACAGCTCCGGCTGTTGCAACCATATGGGGAGTGAACCAGCAGATGGAAGATCTCTCTCTCTCTCTGTCTCTACCTCTCTAACTCTTTCAAATAAACAAAATAAATCTTTAAAAAAAAAAAAAACATAGTGGCTTGCGGTTACTGGGCTTTGTGCCTTTAATAAAGAATGCTTAGTCTGTGACCCAAGAAGCTTAATAAAGCTGCTGTATTATCGCTACTTGTGTTGTGGATTTTTCATTAGGCGTCGTGAGACTTACCATTGGAATACCAAGTTGTAAAAAGTCTAGCAAATAGAGAAAAGAAATACTTAGAGCAGGGAACAATGTATTGGACATTTCACTTTCTTTATGACTGTAGGATTTATAAACAAAATGTGATTTTTTTCTTCTGTTTCACTGTATATAATGTTATCAGTTTATTGAGCCATTATATTATAATTACCTTATGTATTTTAAAGGAACATAGTGCTTATTATAGAACACAGTCCTTTTAACAAATGTCTATATAGATATTTAATTTTCCTTTCAGAATTGTTGAAGAATACCATGACTTATATACACTGCAAAGAGGCCGGATGGAGACTGATATTAAACAGTTAATGGCAGAGAGAGATAACTGGAGCTCAGCGACGTATGAACTGGCCCTGAAGGTTGGTTCATCAAACTGCAACTCGGCCTTCTTTTTTGTCTAGTTGAGTTTTGTTTTATGATTTGTAATAATATAGATAACTCCCTCCCTCAAATGAACATCTATATTTATTAATGAAGAATATAGCTTATGTGGCCTTGAAAAGGTGAAGTTAATTTTTTGCCTTTCTTTTTTTCCTCTGTCGGGTACCTAGTTATTGCACAATTGAGGACTGTTTTTTCCCTCCACAATCTATGAAGTATATTTGGGAATGTGTCAAAAATTTCAACTTTAATTGATACTAATAATAAACCAGAGAAGACAGTTTTGATTTTTTCATATTATATAACCATATATCATTGCTGGATATTGCATTCTGGTCCTAATAACTGAGTACACACAATGACAAGTGACTTGAAGTGTGGTAGCCTGTGGGTTATTACAGTAATGCTTCAGAATTAAAAATTCAAAGAGAATAAATGCAACAAGAAGGGACAAATAACCATACAGTCTATTGAAAATCCTACAACTTTACTGAAGAACCTAAAACTAGAGAAAAGGAGATCTATGCATCATTAGTTGAGAAGAATAATCAAAATTATATAGATGTCAGTTTACTCCAAATTATAAATTCAATTAGAAATCTCAATATCAGGCCAGTGCCACGGCTCACTAGGCTAATCCTCCACCTGCGGTGCCAGCACCCTGGGTTCTAGACCCGGTTGTGGCACCGGTTCTGTCCCGGTTGCTGCTCTTCCAGTCCAGCTCTCTGCTGTGGCCCGGGGAAGGCAGTGGAGGATGGCCCAAGTGCTTGGGCCCTGCACCCACATGGGAGACCAGGAGGAAGCACCTGGCTCCTGGCTTCAGATCAGTGCAGCATGCTGGCCGTAGTGGCCATTTGGGGAGTGAACCAATGGAAGGAAGACCTTTCTCTCTGTCTCTTTCTCTCACTGTCTAACTCTGCCTGTCAAAAAACCAAAAAAGAAATCTGAATATCTTATTTTTACAAAATTGACAAGCTGACAAATTTGTAAGCCATCTGGAAGATTTTTTTTCTAAATCAATAGCATTCTTTGTTTGTTTTTTTATTTATTTTTTATTTGACAGATAGAGTTAGACAGTGAGAGAGAGAGAGACAGAGAGAAAGGTCTTCCTTCCGTTGGTTCATCCCCCCAAATGGACGCTACGGCCGGAATTATGCCGATCCGAAGCCAGGAGCCAGGTGTTTCCTCCCATGGACCCAAGGACTTGGGCCATCCTCCCTGCTCCCAGGCCACAGCAGAGAGCTGGACTGGAAGAAGAGCAACCGGGACTAGAACTGGTGCCCATATGGGTTGCCAGCGCTGTAGGCGGAGGATTAATCAAGTGAGCCACAGTGCGGGCTCCTGTCTGGAAGAATTTTAAAAGTATTTATTTACTTGAAAGGCAGCGAGAGAGAGTGAGCAAGTGAAAGAGCAAATAAGCTTCCACCTGCTGGCTCACTCCCCAAATGCCTACTATTGTAGCTAGAGCTAAGCCATTCCAAAGCCGGTAGCCTGGAACTTAATCAGGCCTCCCAGGTATGTGTTAGCAGGAAGCTGGAATCAGGAGCAGAGCTTGGGCTACAACCCAGGCACTCTGATAAGAGATGTAAGCATCCCAAGCAGCACCCTTTTTTAAAAAAAATTATTCATTTATTTTCAAGGTAGAGTTATAGACAGTGAGAGAGAAAGAGAGAGAGAGAGAGAGAGAGAGAGAGAGAGAGAGAGAGAAAGGTCTTCCATACGTTGATATACTCCCCAAATGGCCACAACAGCCGGAGCCAGGCTGTTCTGAAGCCAGGAGCTTCTTCCTGATCTCCCATGCGGGTGCAGGGGCCCAAGTGCTTGGGCCATTTTCCACTGCCTTCCCAGGCCATAGCAGAGAGCTGGACTGGAAGAGGAGCAGCTGGGACTAGAACTGTCATCCATATGGGTTGCTGGCGCTGCAGGTAGAGGATTAACCCACTGTACCACAGTGCCAGCCCCAAGCAGCATCTTAACCACAGTACCAAGTGCCTTCCTCTAATGAATTTTTTAAAATATTAATAAGAAATAACTTGTATTTTTGACATCAAAATATGCTTAAAATCAAAGTAAGAATGTGTTTGTTGGTAAAAATAAATACAAAAGAACAGAATAGAAAGTTCATAAATAGACTCATGTATATATATATATATATATATATATTCAAATTATATTGACAGAATTGGTTATCCAGTTATTAAAAGATGTGGATACCTACCTCATAGAAAGTTTACATAAAAAGTAAATTCTAGAAGACATTAAATATTTAGAAGTAAAATAATGAAACTATAAATATAATAAGTGAAGAGTGAGAGTTTTTAAAAATTAATTTATTTTAAAGGCGGAGATACAGAGAGAGATCTTCCATCTGCTGGTTCACTTTCTAAATGGGTTCAACAGCCAGGCTGGGCCAGGCCAAAGCCAGGAGCTTCTTCTGGGTCTCCCACACGGGTGGCATGGGTCCACACACTTGGGTTATCTTCCACTGCTTTTCCCAGGCCATTAACAGGGAGCTGGATCCGAAGTATAGCAGCCAAGACATGAACCAGTGCCCATATGGGATGCTGGCATCACAGGTGGCGGCTTAACCCACTACGCCACAATGCCATCCCTGTGGATATTTCTATAATACTAGAATGGGGAAGCCCTCTCTAAATACAACATGAAAGGAAACCTGGAAATTAGAAATTTCCATGAGGTGCCAGTGACCAGAAACAAAAGCAAGTAACACACTGGGAACAAACGTTAGTACTTTATGGAGCAGACAGTAAATGTTATGGAAGTAGTCTAGTAAATACATTTTAAACATGGAAATAATTCAGTAATACAATGGGCAAAGAATACAGTCAGGTAATTAAGAGTGAGAAATTCAAATGGCTAATAATTATATGAAAATGTGTCTAACCTCACAAATAATTAATAATGTGTAACATAAAGAGTTGATATCATTTTTAGCTAAGATTAGCAGGCATTAAAAAGATGATAAACATGAACACTATCATATATTATTGATAGGAATACAAATTGATAAAACTTTTTTGAAGATTTGTATAAGAGCTAACAATACAGATAGTCCTAATTTATGATGGTTCCCAACTTGGGATTTTTATGATTTGATGATGGTATGACAGTGATACGTGTTCAGTAGAAACTAGCTCTGGACAGTGGCAGTGAGCTGCAGCTAGCACCCACCCAGTCAGCCACAAATTACAAGGGTGATCAGCTGAAATCCTACAGTGTACTGTGTTGCTAAGCTATGATGTTCAATAGCTTACATGCCTGAAATGTATTGTCTTTTACATACACACACAGTTACAGAGAGAGCAGGAAGGCACAGAGAGGGAGAGATTGAGAGAGATCTTCATCTACAGGTTCATTCCCCAAATTGCCACAACAGATGGGACTGGGCGAAGTCAAAACCAGGAGCCCACATGGATGTGTCCCACATGGATGGCAAGGGTCCAGGCACTTGGGCCATCTTCCGCTGTTTTCCCAGGCCATTAGAGGGAGCAGAATCTGAAGCAGGGCAGCCGGAAATTGAACCGGTGCCCATATGGGATGCCGGCACTGCAGGCAGTGGCTTAACCCGCGGCACCACAGCACCAGCCCCTGAAATGTATTTTCGGTTTACAGTATTTTCAACGTACAGTGAGCTTATTGGGGTGTAACCCCAATCTAAGTCAGAAAACTTCTGTATTTTAAATTTAAATCAGTTTCTGAAAAAAAAATTGGTAAAAATGAATATGGATATGGTTATCCATTTCAGCATTGTTTTATAATTTCAAAATATATTAAAATAGAAGGCATTTGGTCTGTTGTTAGGACACTGGTTAAGGTGCTTGGCTCTAGCTCCCACTGGCAGCTTCCTGCTGTTGCAGGCCCTGGGAAGGAGCACTTGTGATGGCTGAGATTCCTGGGTCCCTGTCCCCTCTGTGGGAGACCTGGTTTGTGTTCCTAGCTTCTGGTTCCAGCCCTGGTCACTGTTGCAGGAATCTGGGGGAGTGAACCAGTGTGTGGAAGTACTCTTTCTTGCTCACTCTCTCTAAAATAAATGTTTAAAAACTTTAGATTCTGATAGCCTAAATATCCAGCAGTATGGAAATAAATTGTAGTTATCTAGATAATAGAACATGAAGCAGTTGTTATTTAAGAATGTTGCAGGCATGTACAAGGATACTTCCACAAGCTCATGGAAAAATGGACCTAAAAAATGAGTATTTTGGTACAAAAAAGTTTCAGATACATGCAGTTTTCTTCAGAATACATGTGTTCCATGACTTTTTTTGAAAACTCCTCTTATGTGTATGAAAAGATGTGTATAATAAATAAAAACATCAAGTTTTAGAATATTATAAAAGACTACATACATTTAGTTAAAATTATCTTAAATATATTAGCAGATTTATACATGTAGTTGGTATACACATACATACACAGACATGCTATACACACAGACTATATATGTGTAGCAGTACACACACACAGACGTGTACTATATATGTATAGTGGTATACACACAGACGTGCACTATGTATGTGTAAGTGGTATACACACAGACGTGCACTATATAAATGTAGTTGGTATACACACACAGACCTGCACTATATATGTATAGTGGTATACACACAGATGTGCACTATATACATGTAGTTGGTATACACATGCAGACGTGCACTATATATGTATAGTGGTATATGCCCAGATGTGCACTATATACATGTAGTTGGTATACACACACAGACCTGCACTATATATGTATAGTGGTATACACACAGATGTGCACTATATACATGTAGTTGGTATACACACACAGACCTGTACTATATATGTATAGTAGTATACACACAGATGTGCACTATATACATGTAGTTGGTATACACACACAGACCTGCACTATATATGTATAGTGGTATACACACAGATGTGCACTATATACATGTAGTTGGTATACACACACAGACCTGTACTGTATATGTATAGTAGTATACACACAGATGTGCACTATATACATGTAGTTGGTATACACACACAGACCTGCACTATATATGTATAGTGGTATACACACAGATGTGCACTATATACATGTAGTTGGTATACACACACAGACCTGTACTGTATATGTATAGTAGTATACACACAGATGTGCACTATATACA